TGCTCTTCAGCAATAACCCAAGGAATATAGGTGGGCATGATGAGGGAGGAGGGAGCCAGCTGTCACAACATTTCAACCATGGTAACTAAAAGAAATTCCAGCAAGTGTTCTATTAAGTTTGGAAGTAATCAAGACACTCATAGACACAAGGGGAAAAAAGGATCACCGGAGGAGCAGTGTCATGGCAAAACCATGCGAGAAACGGAATCCAAATACTCAGCCTATGATAGAAAACAACAACTGCACCAGATCTAAAAATGTTTCTGGAGCACCAGTGAAGTCTGCAAGTACCAACAAACTTCCTCCTGCAGCCAGCTCAGGAATTCAGCTGTCAGCTCCAATTTACATTTAGCCCAGCCTCCCGTCATGAGAGGGGTGGGAGCAGCTCCTTTAAGTCCAAGGCCTCTCTCATTTAGTTGTCCCTTCCATGGTGAGAGGTAGCAGGGTTCCTTTAAACAGCACTATTTATTTCCTGGCATGATTCCCAAGCTTCCTGTAACCTTGGCATTAGCCAGTGATCGCCCCATTTATTTCAATCAAAAAAACTAAAAGCTCTTTAACCCCCTGTCTTGTTCCTCATCTCTTTAAAAAGGGAGATTTCACAACCAAATAACTTTACTTCCTTTCTCCTCTGAGAAGTGGCATTTGTAGGAAAGTCAACTGCTTTTTCTAGAGCTTCAGATAGTTGAAGATGTCATCATCATGTACTTTACCTAAGGCATCTGGGCCTCATTCTAATCTCATGTAAGCCAGTGTCAATTCACATCAATCAGTGAAGCCATACTGGTGCAAAATCAGTCCAACAGAGGCCTGTCCTAGGGTCCCTATATTTGGATAGCTATTTGAGAGATCATCTATTTGTCCTCTATCACCAAACCACTTACAGCAAACAGCCATGGACCAAGAAGAACAAATATTTGTGAAAAGGGAAGTCACTGAAAATGGCAACCTGGTGCCTTTAACACCGTCATGAGTGTAAAGAGCTAAAACATAACTTTGTTTTGAATGACTAGATTTGCCCCGTGGTCTGACTTTGAATAACTTTCTTTCAGTTCCTCAATAGCTACAAGTGTTCAACTGCAGGAGCCTCAGGTGCAGAATCTGTAATTACATTTCTGGAGGGAGCGGAGATGCGTGCGTAGGGGTGGGGGTGCTGTTTTTTCACAGTTTAAGAGAAAAGGTAATTAAGTTTCTGTTCCTAAAAGAGGCCAGCCTTGTAGACTCCAGGCTTCTGTTTCCCTTACAACCTGCACCGTACAGCGCCCCTCCAAGATAACTAGGTGGAGCTAGTTAGCTGTGTTAATCTGAAGTCAGGCAGAAGGCAGGGCAGGGCAGCACCTTAGGGTAACAACAGACATCACCAAGTGAAGTCGATCAGCTGTGGTGGGATGTGTCCTACCACAGTGGAGCTCCTTTATTGGGAAATGTGCTTCCTTTCGCTGGGGAATCCCTGCATTTCTCACTGCCCCATGCCTCTTTGCCAACGTGAGCCTCATGCAGAAGCGGGGGCTGGCAGAGGTTCTGGTATGGGACAGTGTAGATCAGCACGGGATACAGGAAATCTCTGGTGCCCCATGCTTCCACACAGACACTCATGCTGACCACTGCCTCCATAGGGTGGCGTGAGTCCCGGCAAGGAAGCATGGGGCAGCACAGGACCTGGGAAGTTCCTGGCATCATGTGCCTCCATGCTGGCACCCATGCTGTGCCAACCTGTGCTAGGAGCTGCGCCAACCTGTGCCTTCATGCTGGGACCTGTGCCAACCCATGCCTCTGAGTGAAGCATCGGTCAGTGTAGGTCCTAGCATGGGGGGCACGGGCCACTGGGAATTCCTGGGTCCCATGCCTCCATACCAGGATCTGCGCAGACTTTCCTCACTTTTGAAGAAGCACTCCTTATGCAGGGAACCCTCACTTTCCCTGCTTACAGAGAGGTGCCCTGAGATTCCCTAGGGCATGTCTCTAAGTAGGGAAAAGCTGGGCAGGCACTCCCCAGGCTTGAGGGGATGAATCCTGCATGGGAATTCCTGGGGTATGCAGGATCGGACCCCTCAAGCCTCCGGAGTACCTACCTGAGGTGGTTGGAGAATGCAGGCTGCTCTGGGCTGCCTGCACTTTCCTACGATAAAGCAAATAGATGTCTGCTGCAATAAGGCTGCATTATTTTACACTGCATTTTGCTGCAGCCCCTGACATGGCATGACAGACGGGGTAGAGACGTATTTGGTCGCCATTTGTGCCGCCATAAACATTCTTATCATGGCACAAACATGATGTCAGGTGACACCTGTTTCTATACTTAGAGACAACCTGGTTGAGAGAGGCAGTTCATGCCTGAACCAGTTAGTTCAGTTAGTTCCTAAGGTGCCACTCTACCCCACCTTCAGTGCTTAAGTTTGACTGATGACTTCTAGGGATAAGAGCATATACCATTTTTCATAACCAGGACAAATCCTTAGTCTGGGTGAAGCAGTAGGAAAGAAGAAGAAAGAGGCAGATGGTTAAATCCATGCAATGGAGTTCAGTTTTATTAATACCACTCAGTTACTAGTCTCTGGAATCCCTGTTCTGCCTTGAGACCACTCAAAAACCAGAGATGTATCAAGGGAGTGCACTCATCTGGATATGCAGGTACTTTTAGGATGAAGATCAGTGGTTCTCAGCTTTTTTGGAATTGAGGCACCCCTCATGGGACTCAAGACACCTCTCCATAATTTTTGTAAATTAAGTGGTACCCAATATTTAAAAAAAAGTATATATTACAGGGCTTACTTCCTTGCAGAAGGGTAGGGATCATCCAGGCAGGGATAAGCTTGACTTTATGCTTATCTGCTGAGCTTATCTGCCCATACCTTGCTTATCTCCTCACTTCTGGAGGCATCTTTTAAATTATTTGATGGCAGCCTAGTTGAGAATTTCCTGGCACCATGGTTGAGAATCACTAATCTAAATTATTGAGCACACTTACATATGAATCTTTCCTACCCTCCAAAGGCCATGTCCTATCCCATCATTTTCCCAAAGCCATGTCCTATCCCACCGGTTCTGGAAGTAAATAATACCAATCTCATCTCTATCCTTAACCCAAACTAACTGTCAAAGCCACTGACACTAAAAGGTATCAGAGTGTTTTTTGCTCTCTTCTTATATGACCACTAGACTCTTGAGACTGATGCAGATTAGGAACTGAAAATCTTTTGGCTCTCAGGGTTGGCTGCTAAGGTTTTTTATATGAGCAAGAACATTTGCTGCCTGCCACTTGGCTGGAAATAAGACAAGTGGCTCCTCATCTGTACTTATAAAGTAGCCTCTTGCCAGTATTCATTGTTGCATTGATGCCTCTGCTCTTCAAATAGTTTACTTAACATGAGTATCATGGTGCAGTCCTTGCTATACTAAAAGACAAGCAAACCTTCACACCTTCCTTATGTTAATACTGTTATTCTCACACATCTTGCTGAGTAAATCTTAGCTCTCACAACAGCGATTTAGGGAGCACTTAACAATGGATGCTACTAGAGACTGGTGAGATCCTAAACATTCTTGTCTTTTATAGTTCAGTTTTACCTGAGCTACTTCCTTTATTCCTTCATATTCCACCTTCATCTTCTTTTGGACATCCTCATCAACACTTGGGTCACCTATCCTGTTAAACAAGGAAGCAGCTTCCTCCAGGAGCCTTTCCAGCAGGACTGACTGATTTAAGACGTCATTCAGCAGCACCTCAGAGTGGCTCAGCTGCCACTGCTTCTCTTTCAGGCCAAGCTGCAGTTCTATGTCTGGCTCCAAGGTCACCTTCATGTTGTGAACCCACGTGTAAAATTCATCCTGGGCTTTCAAGTATTCATTCCAGTGCAGCCACACCCATTCAATACGGCTGTTGGGGAAAGTGAGGAACATGAGATTCTCCCACGACCAGTGGAGATTATGGCAAGTTTAAGATGCTTAAAAAAATGTCAGCACTGAACGGTCACAATCTCAGGTGGAATAATTTAGCTTAGCTCCTCTGGCTTCAGAGTGTCATGATCCATGTCCCAGCTCCATTCTGCTGTAGGGGGAAACACCCTTTGCCCAGCAAAGATTATGGGCTGGTGCAGTGTGAGGGGACATAGAGCCAAGGCTCCACATTTTATCTGTTCACCCACCCTAACTATATGCATGGGACCAGCAGTTGCAGCCTAGAGAAGCCTACTTTCTCCCATACCGCTATCCACAATATGGCATTGATGCAGGGAGTTCTTTGTGACAGAACTGCATGAGCCAGTCTGACCTGACACATCAAGCACATGCTTTATAGAAAAATAGTATATGTTTCCTACCTGTGACAGTGAGTAATGTATATGGCTGTTTCTTCCCACATGGCCTTAATGTCTTTCAGTTTGGAGAGTACCTTGTGCTTTTCATCCTCGCTGATGCAGCGAAGAAGGGCCTCTGCTTTCTTGATAACGAAGTCCATTTTCAGTCGACCTTCAGGCTCCAGTACACATATTTTCTGTTAGGAAGCACAAAATGTAATGCGTTACAAATAGCCTGTGAAAGCAGTTATTGAATTATAAATTTGTTTTTACCTAGGAATCAATAACTCCCTCATGCAGAGCTCCTGTTGAATAAAAAATGAGAACTTTTCCACTGTTATTTTTTAACAATCCTAAAAGATTTAATTAATTAGAGACTTATATACTTCATCTATAAAAAGCAAATAGTTTTTATAGTTCCTAGGAGTCATTTCTATGGAACCCAATTATTTATGTGCCTACTCAGTTCTATAGGACTTGAATACCAACTGCTATAGTTCTATAATATTATATATCTATTGTATGCCTTGTAATTTATTTTTGTGGCAAGAATGTAGAGGCAGCAATATCCATGGGAAACACAGAGCAAAACACATAGGGTAAGGTGTCCCATAGCATGCCACAGGTTATAGACAGAAAAGCCATTTGTTGTAAATCCTAGAAGACGTTTTCTCAACTACAAGTCAGAAGAACTTGCAATTATCTAGCAGAATTTCATCTCTGTTACCAAGTTTTTTCCTTGCCCCAAAATGTCTATATCAGATAAGACTATGGCACACATCTCAACACAAACCCTAAGGCAAAGAAATAGAGGTTTAAGGTCCTCTTCCACACTGAGGCATAAACCTAACTACTAGAACGACCATTCTGCACTGCAAACAACCTTAACCCCATCTCAGTAAGAATATCAGTTTTTCACCATCACCTACCCTATGTTCCCACTACTACAAATGCACAGATCACCAGACTCCCTCTGCCTATTGTCCTGTCTGCACAGTTCAGAGGAAGTCACATGCACTCAGTTTTAGAGGAAGATAAAGCTAAAAGAAAAACATGAAGACACTAAATATCAGAAGCTGCTTATGAAGATTTAGGCCAAGAGATCTGTCCAAAATCATTTTTAAGCCAGTCACAGAGTGTAGAATAAAAGCCAGGTCTTCCCAGTCTTGTGATTTTAACAGAATCATTCTTCTTCCTTTATGTCTTTCTATATAGCATACTTGACTGTGACATTCTTGCACCATTTGCACTGAATGCCTACTTTGTAAAATGAATATAAATCCCTCCCCCCCACAAACCCACATACTAAATACAGACTCTTGGAGTGGAGCAGGCAGTATAAGCTACAACCACCAAACAAAAGAAAAACATGGAAATAAATCAATAACTCTTAAGTTCAGATCTTTTTTCATGTTTGAAATGAACTGAAAGCAAAAAGGACTGTTAAGGAAGCTATGGTTGGGCGGGCACTTCAATTTTCCGGACTGTATTTTTTTAATGGTTGCTTTCTTTGGCGGGCATTTTCATTAGCAAATTTACAGAAAATGAAAACACAGGAAGCAAGCCAACTAGGTCAGGGACACTTGGAACTGATGTTTTCATTTGAAATAGCCAATGGGTGAATGAGCAAGAAGATTAGATGGAAATGTCAGCTGGATGGCAAGGATGCCATCCAGCCTGCTACAAAGGCAGGATGGGAAGACAAAGAAGGGAAGGGAGAAGCAAGATGAGGAAAGAGTTATTTAACTTTTTTACTTTTCAGATGATGGGTTTCCAAAATCCAAACTACAAGTGCCAAAACACAGATTTTCTGTGTGCACTCTGGGGATGCCCACCCCCATTGTAGCCAACAGGCTTCAGTCAGGTCATTTGAAAGCAGGAACAAATTCTCAGTCTGAAACAAAATAAATACTTCATGCCTTTGGGGCTAGTAGGCAAATCTTTCTGGCACCACCAGCTCCACAATGAGTCTCCATGTTAGACCAGGTACGTGATCTAACACCCTTGATGAAAAACCTGGGAAAATAGGACTGGATAGGATATGGCAATTCATACAAAATACCCCAGCACACACACCTGGATTGCAACTCTGTGCTGGCCATGCTATCTCAAATACCAGAAAGAGTCCAAACATGATTACAGTCATAAAGAGACTTTCATATGAAGAGAAATGAGAACTCATCTGCTGCTGCTGTCCCCCTGATTTCCTAGACCCTAATTTCCAAACCCAGCTGGAGTGGGGGAAGAAAGAATGGGAGGAGAGAAAAAAGTGCTACCGAGTGTCAGGGAAATGGGTACCCAGAGCAGGGGAAGGCAGTGCAGAGATCACAGGGTTCAGTTAACACAGGCATACATGAATGAAAAGAACTAGACAACAGGCTTTGTTTGGGAACAGTAAAGAAGCTCTCCTTACTCTGTTTCTCACTCTCTGACTCCTAACTACCTGCTCCCTGAGGGGCCATCTCACAATTCCCAACTCGCTGAGCCTCCTGTTAGGGAGCATCTATACATTATAACTTCTGTCATTAGTTATATCTGCTTCCAAGACTCAAGTCCCTGGCAACTGCTGCCCTGGTGCTGTCTGCCTGCAGGGCTGGGGTGCATGACTACAGCCATCCCTGAAGTGCCAGCTGCATCTCCCAAAAGTCCCTTTTCAAAATCCTAGATCTGCCCATGTATGTGCGGAAAGCAAACTTCCCTATGATTGCAAGCAAAGTCAGAAACACTCAGAGACAATACTTCGCTTGCAAGCTACCAGGTAGGGACCACCTATTTAAAGAACAGGCCAATCATAAGGACAGACATTACACATAAACCAGTTAAAGTGATCAAAAAATGGTTTAAACCTGTAACAGAACAGAAGTTCAGTGCACATAAACCAGTTTCAAAATGGTCAAAACTAGTTCAACATAATCTGGTTGAATGCAGTGTCAGACTTAACTGATTGAGGTCAGACTAGTTTCTGTAACTTCTGTCCCAGACCCCTTCTTGGTTTAAATTAAATCAGAGTCCCTCAGCATCCCAGCATGCTTTGCAGTCCTGGGCTGTGCTGTGCTGTCTGCTCCAGAGAGCAGGGCTGGCTCCGCCCCTCTGCTGTCTAGCCGGAGCAAGAGCGGGGGGTGTGGCCAGATGCTGACCTGGCATGGCCCCCGAAGGCGAAGAGGGCAGGGAGGGGGTTTATTCCCCTTTCCCCTCTCCCCCCCCGGGGACCCCATCCAGGGTCTGCCTGGTGGGAGCACAGCAGCCCGTCAGGCATTTCCCTCTCATCACCGCTCGAGCAGCAAGGGGTGTGGTCAGTCCTGGCAGCAGCCTGAAGTGAATGGAGAGATGGACAGGGGTTTAATTTCTCCACAATAGCATGGACCCCAACAGCATGGACCCCAGGCAGGATCTGCCAGGCAGGGGCACAGCAGCCTGTCAGACATTTTGCCCCACTCACCGTTCAAGCAGCAGGGGGCTTGGCCAGCCCCAGCAGCAACCTGAAACAAACCCCCCCATTTGCTTCAGGCTGCTGCTGGGGCTGCCCATGACCCTTCTGCTCAAGCAACAAGGGGCATGGGTGGGAAATGCCTGGCAGGGGCTGCTTCCCCCTTCTGCCTCCAGGCATACCCCAGCTGGAGACCATATAGGCCAGGATGGGGGTTTAAACCTCTACCCAATCATACTCAGACTGCAGGGGCCTGGCCATGACCCCTCTCAGCTCAGCTTCCCTCCAGCTGAGGGCTTGCACTAGCACCCCCTGGCTTCTGACCTGAGCCACTGCAGACATGTGCTGTATTTCCAGAATCAAAAGTGACTGTCTATACACCTGCTTGCTGGTTCAATCTATGCAGGTTAGACTAACCTGCAGAGAGTGAATTAATTCAGGCTTGGGCTTTTTGAATGTCTGTATTTAGCCTAAGCCATAACAGAAGTAGAAAAGCAACAAGTTAGTGTTGGCCTTCTCTACAGGACTTCTACTGTATCATTGTAATAATGAGTGGGAGAAACAAGATAAATAGGAGTGCCCAGTTCTCTCATAAAACAAGAGAAAGGGAACACTAGGAAACTGAAAGGTAACACATTTACAGTTAATCAAAAAGAAACACACGCATTATCATTTTGTCACAAAATGCCAGTAAGAGCAAGAGTTTAGAAGGATTATTAAGGGATCATCTACTTACAGAAACGAGATCATCTACAGTGTTTACACCTATTCAGATCATCTACATTGTTAGATAAGTTGAAGAAGGTACGTGCCTTAAAACTACTAGTGGACACAGCTCAGGAAAAACTATAAGCAGCCTGCTCTACTATGGGGATTGTGGTACCTTTTCCTTTAGCATCTACCACTAGTGTGATCTGACTATGGCAATTTCCTGATGACTGCTGGGTGGTTGTAAATCCTAGAGCACTGTGTGCAACAGCTGAGGTCTTATGAAAAGCAAGACTGATGCTACACTTCCAAATATCATATATTTACTCAAATATAAGATGCTTTATTTTCCCTAATCAGCCCTCGCATTTGCATACAAGGGAGCCTCATTAAATACACTGTCTATCATTAAACTGCTGCCAAATGCAGTATGTGCTCAGTAATGGAAACCAACTATGCAGCTGATTAAATGCAGCTAGCACTGACCATGACTATAAAACACACGGCCCATATTGGGCAAACCTTTTTTTATTTTAAAAATGTTTTCATATTCCAGGTCAAATTAGTCAAATCAGTTCTGAATCCTCTCTATTGAGCAACACTCAATCATTCAAACACTATATGCGGTGCTACAACTGGCAAGTATCTTCCACCCCAGACTTTTCAGCCAGGGGCTTCAGATACTTCCAAATCCATTGGTGGGGATCCTACATGCAGGCCCAAGCCTGGAGGCTTGGGGTTTGGATGCCCTCACATCTTACTTGCCCTTAACCAAAGGCCACAGAAGCAATCTAGAGAGGAGTCCCCTATTTCCATAAAGTAGGCGTGTAACCAAGATCCTCCCAATGGAAGCTAGTCAGTAGGAAGCTAATTACAAGACTCATGGGCAAACCTACTTTTTTTTTTTTTTTTTTAAGGAAAATTTTTCATGTTCCAAGCTAAATCAATTCCAAATCCGTGTCATTCAAGAACCATATATGGCCCTACTATTGGTAAACATCCTCTACCCCCACCTGGGTTTTCAGATGTTTCCAAATCATTTGGTGAGTATCCTACGTTCAGGCCCAAGGCCAATGGCTTTGGGTGGCCCCGGGGTTCGCTTGCCCTCAGTTATATGGCTGCAGAAGCAAGCTAGGGAGAAGTTTCCCAGTTCCATAAAGTGAGCATAAAGCCAAGTTCTTCCCACTGGAAAGGAAAGTGGGAGGTTAGATATACATTGCCTCCATGGGTACTACCCCATGCCAGAAAAGCAGTTATCTCAAGTGACTAGGAAAACTCCCTTAGCAAACCTACCACAAGAATAGTGTATCATAGAATCATAGAAGTAGGGTCGGAAGGGACCTTGTAGATCTTCAAGTCCGACCCCCTGCCCGGGCAGGAAGAAAACTGGGCTCAAATGACCCCATCCAGGTAGGCATCGAGCCGCTTCTTAAAGACCCCCAGGGTAGGAGCCAGCACCACTTCCCTTGAAAGTTGGCTCCAGACCCTAGCTGCCCTAACTGTGTAGCCTATCTGAGTAAAATATATAGCAGTGCCCATTGTGCTCAGTCCCCCTCAGTGCTAACTCTTTTCCAGGTCATGGCGAGCCACTACACTGAATACATTTTAACTTCCTTTTTACTCCCATAGCTGAGCTGTGCCTTTCTTTCCCATTTCCAATGATTCCTGTTTCTTCACCATCCTTAAATGTCTGGTAAATATCACCAAATGAGACCCCAAACATTTCACCCAGAATCCCTTTGTTGTCCTCTCTCTCAGCCTGTGTGAGGTGGAACCAGACCAGGTTGCCCTGTGCCTCATCTGCATATACATTATTGGAGCATCCCAGGACTTGTGACATGAACATGTGTTTCCAGTCCTGAGTTGGGAGTTAATTAGCACATGGATCCTTTCTGGGGTTGTCTGGAGTACACATACTATTGAGTGCTGAGCTATGGGGTCACCATGTCTTTTAAATGCTGTTGACTCTTCCAGGGTCCAGCCCATTGAATTACATGGTAAATCATGAGCCTTTTGGTTTTAGACTAATATCATTTGTAATTTGTACTGCTGAATCCCTGGCCCAGCACATCAGGCAGGATCCTGGGATGTGTGGAGTCCAGATTCCCAGAGGTAACAAGGAAGAGTCCAAGATCCTGGCCTACATGGATGACCTGAATATCCTGTGCCAGAATAGGTGTGCAGTAAAAACAGCCCTGTGGCACACACAGGTTTATGAAGAAGCAGCTGGGGCCACGCTCAACGTGAGCAAAAGTGCCTTCCTGCCCATGGGCGAGCTCTAGGACCTGGAGTTCCTGGGGATCTTGGTTCCCCACGAGGGGGTCAAGCTCCTTGGGGTGGAATTTAACCCTGACCTGAGCAGAAGGAGGGCCTCGGAGAAAAAGGAGGTCAAGCTGAAGCAGTCATTGAGTCTGTGGCGCACGCACCACCTCTCCATGGTGGTAGCAACACTACATGGTGCTCATGAAGGCAGTGTTGCTACCAGTGCTTCTGTACACTGCACTGCCCTTCCCCTCTCCAAAGCGTATCATTCACAGAATCCAGAGAGTCATGTGCGTTTCTTTCTGGGAATCCAGAATGGAGAAGGTGGTAAGAAAGAACCTGTACAAAAAGAAGCAGAATGGGGGCAGGGGGATGCCAGACATCCACCTGTTCCTGCAGGCATGGTACATGAGCCAAATCTGCAAGCTGGTGACCAGGTCAGAGTCCAAAACAGCCTGTCTAGTAAAATTTTTTGCAGGTCACCTCCTAAGACAGTGGGGGGTGTTCACCCCAACCAACTGGAAACTGTGGACCATGGAACACCCCTGGTTCTACAGAGTCCTGAACAATTTCCAGAGCAAGTACAGGCTACAGAAGGAAAGCCCGGTGACTATGACCAACCACAAGAAGATACAGAAAGCAGAGACAGAGACATACTATCAACCGTGGAGATGCTCCCGAAAGACAACTGCCAAGCCGTCTGGAACTGGATCTTCCACAAGGACCTATGAAAGGATCACAGAGACTTGAACTGGCTAATAGCGCACCACACTCTCCCAGTGAGGGCATGGAGACACAGAGAGGGATGAGGAACTGAACCCAGCTGCCCCAGGGAAACCTGTCAAGATGATAGAGAGACCATCGACCACCTCCTATGGCTCTGTCCCTCTGTTCCCTGGAAAAAGGGAAGTCGGCTCCTGGAGGAGGTGACAGGAATCAGGCTGATGACAAGGGAGGCGGCACTGTATGGACACCTGACTAAACAACAGGGGTCCCAAACAGCTCGCTTTGACATGTCTGTGTCCTGCATCAGGAGCACCCTGTAGCACATGCAGAAACCTACTGGTGTACAGACACGTGGAGCTTGGGGAAACAGTCTGTTTCAAAATGTTTCTGTATGAACTCCAGTCCTACTGCTGGAAAGTGGTGGGAGAGGACAAAGAAGATGTAGCCAACTCCACTTGGCAAAGGGACTCTTGGCAAAGACGATTCAAAGACAGTCCGAGAGGTGGAGTGGTCAGCGATAATGAAGATGACTGCAATACAACCAGGCTTCAAAACAGCGACAATAACAACAGCAGTTTCAGCAGCAGCAGAAGCAATAGTGAGAGTGACAGCACTAACAACAAAGATAAGGAATAAGCAGACAATGTAAAACCCAACAGTGGAGTGAAAACTAAGGGACTGTGTTATGGAAAGGACTGCGGACTGGTGCATGGGAGCGTGGGGGCACGGATGTGCAGGGATGACCATTGTAATGGGTGTGCAGGCTTTAAATGTGTTTTAAGGTTTGTGTAGAAATGCTTATCTGGGATGCTGTATATATATAACTATAACTATAATTATATATATATCAGGGCTGTGTGAAATTTCGATCGCCGTTTTGTTCTGACACTGTTTCGACCAATTTCGAGGTCAAAACAGCAAAATTGGAACGAAACAAAGGCTGCCAAAATAGCCTCAAAACAAACAAAACTGACTGAAACGTTTCGAAAGTCGAAACGTTTTGACCATAGGCTGGGGGTGGGAAGTCAGTCCAGCCAGCCTGACTTCCCTTCCCCAGCACAAGAACCGCTAGGGGGTGGGAGATAGCTGAGCTGGGCTGCTTCCCCGACCCCCA